ATCCAAGAAGCTTCTTCGGTTCAAGCAGTTCTACAGTTAGAATGGCAGAAGCTTCTTGGATGAGAAGCCAAACGTTTTCAAAGAGAAAAAAAACCCGTGAAAGTCCACTTGCCCTCTGGAAAAAACACCTCTGGGACAACCCGGGGGATTGAGGATCTCCATAGAGATTCTCCATGGGTTGGGTTCAGTTTACAGGCCAAGTGGGGCAAGACTGGCATCCCAGGGGGCAGCCATGTGGGGGAGGCTACGAAGCAGAGTCCACCCTGCTGTGTCTGCGAGGGCTGGTAATTACACCGTAGACGTTCTCTAAAAATACGGATTCCAACTTCAGCTTCAAAACAATAACATCTGCATAGAATCACAAGGTACTTTTGGATGAACATGGAAATGAGCAAAGCGGTTAGAGCAACCTTAGAATTAAAGGTGCCCAGATGGAAGATGGTGTCCCAGGCAGCCCCAAGAGTCCTTGGTCGTCAGAGGCCCTTTAGAAGATTTGATAAAACCAGGGATAAAATTCAGGGGCGGGAGTGGGGGTCCCACGTAAGCTGGGTAATTTCATTGACCTATAAGGAAAAACGTACCCATCTGTTCCCCTTCAATGCTGCTTTTCGGAACAGTCCCAGACACACATTCTGTGATAGCGCAGGAGTTGTGAGGAAGAGGGGGGGGGGGAGAACCTGTAAACATTTTATAACAGGGTGTTATTTCCGAGGGCAGTAAAATATTTACACCTGCCCTGGAGAATGTAAGAGCCTGAGCAAAATTCGGTATGGGTACTGAAACCTTATTACGGTTTGTTGTAAATTGGGAGGGGCATTTAAGAGAAAAGAGCTACCTTTTGGGGAACAAAACTCACACGCATCTTGATGGTTAAAGGGTTAAAGCAACTCAGCTCTCTGCATCTATCAGACCGGTATTTCTCAACCGGGTCAACTTTAAGATGTGTGGAGTTCAACTCCTAGAATTCCCCAGCCAGCCTTGGGGATCCTGGGAGTTGAAGTCCACGTGTCTTAAAGTTGACCCGGTTGAGAAACACCAGAGTAGATCTTAAACGGGATGGCCTCTTCTTCCCTCCTGAGTTGCTGGCTCTAGCACCTTCCTTCCTAGACCCATAACCTGTCCCGTCTCCCCGGGGTCACCAAGGGCGCTTAGTCCTCAGCAGAAGCAGCAGCAGCAGTGGGACCATCTCTTGTGCATCTCAAAGAAACCCCAACTTTGCCTTGCAGGGAGACTCTTTCTGGGGAGGTTCAAAGGATCAGACGAAGCTCTGCAAGAGGTTGAGTTTGACACGTAAAAAGCAGGAAAGGCTCATCACGCTGGGTTGCCCAAATCCACCGTCATGGGTGCAAAAATTAGCCATCTGAGGGGGGGAACGGGAAGCTCCAACCACAGCCTCAAGCCTCTTAGTTGGGGGTTGCAGGACTGACCCAGCAGTAGCCTTCGTTAAAAACAACACAACACAGACCAGCCAGGGCAGAAACAGGAGGAAAAGATAGGGAGGCTGTGATAGCTAGAGCAGTGCAAAGTTATGAATAAGCGGGGATGAAGCCGGTTCTTTTGAGCAGGGCAGGAAGACTATATGAACAGCCCCCACTTCAGTCATCCACAAGTGATGCTGAGCAGACCAGGGTTAGAGGGATGGGACTGGTTTTGGAGTTACTTCCAAGATCAGTTTTTCTGGGGAATTCTGGCAGTTGAAGTCCACCATTTTCAAGTAGCCATGGTTGAGAAGCACTGGTTTTGTAGGCCTGCAACGTAGAGCGAGCCCACCTGTGAATCACAGGTATGCAGCGGGGGTCAGAAGTGAATTATAGTCCCTCCCAAGAGAGGCTTGTTGGCAAAACAGAGCGGAAATCTTAGGGTGGCACGTAAGAAGTTGTAATTTACAAAACAAAAGAGTGACAAAGATGGCTAATTTTTTTTTTCTTGAAACAAGTTTGAATATATCTGTATGTAGAAATATGACGATGTTTATACAAGCAATGACTGGTTTGGGAAAGAACAGCCGAGGGGAAGATAATGCCAGGATCATTGTATTCTTTTCTATTTTGGCAATGCTCACAAATTGCAATAAATTCTGCTCTTAGCCTTGCACCGAGTACTTCCTTTAAGCATCAAAGGCCGTGATGAAAACCTTCCTGGGCTGAGCACCGTTGGCTGTCCTAGTTGTGCTATACACACCTTGCACACTGCCTAAGTGAAATTAGACAGCTGTTGCACAGCCCGTAGAGAATTTTGCAGAGGCAATCTGGGAGGCGGCCAGGGGGTCTTGCAAGAGCCGGTTCTCCTGCGTGGAAGAGGAAAGGCGAGGCGGGGGCTTTGGTCGGCAACCTTTTGGATTCCTCTTGAGACTGCCCTGCTTAAGGCACTGCACAAACACATCCAGCACACATCCTGGGGGGAGGGAGGGAGGGAGGGGAGGGAGCTGATTTTTGTCCTATTTTCAAGTCTCGGAGTTATGCAATTTATTGGGAAGGCAAACCTGAGCCCAGGGCAGCAGCTCTCACCCAAATCCAAATCAACCACGGAGCTCCGGGGGAAACCAGAGGGGCCCAAACATTGTGGGGAAAAGGACAGGCAGATGAGCTTCAGGGAGAACCAAGCAAGGCGGGCAGAGCATTAAGCAGTTCTGGGGAGGGATCCCTTCCCCAACTAGCCCCTCAGGGCGGGCGTCCCCTCCTCAGCCGGGACTTCAAGGGGGAGAAGCCGGGTCTATCTGGGCTTTATCTGGAGTCACAGGGCAGCCAGCAAGGCTCCCATCTAAGCCCCAGATGCCCGGGGTGGGGGCGTTCTCTCTGTTGGCTCTCGTGCCTCCCAAATAAACCGACTTCTTGGCCCAAACCGGAAGCCAACTTCCCTCTGCTGAACTTGACTCGAAGTGACTTTCTGGCACCGTGTCCGGCATGATTCAGCGATGATCTTCTCCCCCCCAAGAACACAGGGCACCTTCTGGATTCTGCTCCACCCTTTTCCAAGGACAGGCGAGAGGTGAGAACCAGCTCAGGAACCTTTGCGACCCAGGGGAGGCTGTGGGTGCCAGGACGACGCCCACAGCGTGCCCAGTTCTTTGTGCCTCCGACTGGTTTCTGCTTGCCTTGGCGAGCCACTTGTTTCAAAAGCACTGGGCGAGGGCAAACCCTGAAGACGCTGGCATCAACCAGCTTCCCAGGGTCTCTCCGACCTGCATTGGCCGTAAGGCAGCTCTTAATGAGTGACTGTGGAGACCTCACTGTTTATTTAATCCGAAAGAACCGGCCTGAAAAAACAGAAGAAGGAAGAACTGGAAACAGATGAGGTCAGCTCAGCCAAGAGTGGCACTTCGCATTAGAGCATGCAGAAGGGGCACCGTGGCTGTAAGCGGGACTAAAAGAAATGGGGGGAAAAAATCCAAACTGTTCCAATAGTTTTATGCTCCAGAGGGGGCTGAAATTTGGGGATATGGTTTCTGCCCCATAGCAATTGACAAAGCTGTGCGTTTCCTTTCCTGAAAGTGCTCCGGCAAAGCAGCCAGTGAGGCAGGAGGGATTGCAATGGGGTCGCAGAGGCTGGTTTGAGAAGCGCTGAGCTACGAAGGCCTCACTTCCAGGGTCCTCTCTCCCGGGGGCTGGTGGGGCTTCCCAGGCAGGAGCTGCCCAAGAGCCTTGGCCACCCAGGTCAGTGGCTGCTTGGGGGTGGCCGAGGGTCTTGGGCTGGTCCACAGGGACAGAGGACCCTGGAAGTGAGGTCTTTGTAGGTTGGAGTTCTAAAACCTGGGAGCTTGCAGATGTGTGAACTTCAAGTCCCAGAATCCCCCAGCTTCTAGAAAAAACAGAGAGACTGGGCTGGGTGGCCAAGATGATGACCTAGCTGTCCTACTTTTGCCAGTTGGTCAACAGCTGCCCTTCTCTCCCCTGCCACCCAGGACTGGCACTGAGTGAAATGCCTCCTTCCTGCCGTCCAGAGGCCAGGATTGTCATTCCCCTTAGAGTCGTCTTTCTCCATAGCCATTTCAGTGATACTGTTGTGATTTTGCATTTACATTTTCCTTCTCCCTTTTCTCAAGATCCGGCTCCCGGGGAAGGCAGCCCAGGTATGTTTGTCTCAAGAGCGCTTGGCACAAAATACCCTCCTCCTCGGTTTTCCAGTGGGCTTTCCATCTCTTCCACCTGCAACTGCCATTGCTCTGATAACACCTGGGATCTACTGACCTCTTGATCCTCTTCTCCTGCCTGTCTCCTCTGCAAGATAACCTCCGGCTCTGCAAGCCATATTAACTTTACTAACTCAGAATCAACCTATTGGAAAGGTTTAAAGCAGCATCTCTTTGGTTCTTCTAGACCTTCGCAAATTACAAAGGTTTCTTCTGGGAGATGATTGACCCTCATTCGCATGGTCTAAAGACAATTGGCCAAGCGCACACACACACGCACACCCCCTTCTCATAGTGAGAGAGCAGAGCAGATCATTCAGTCGCACAATTTCAGGAGCCTTTCAGGAGTCCAGCTCTTATTCCAAAATTCTCCCTAACCACTTCATTTTATTTCACCTGATAAAAGTACATGGGAAAATGTTCCAGGAAAGCTACTTATCTCATTGGGGTTTGCCTCAAGAGCTAACTAAAAAGAGCCGAGGTGGCGCAGTGGTTAGAGTGCAGCACTGCAGGCTACTTCAGCTGACTGCAGTTCTGCAGTTCGGCTGTTCAAATCCCACCG